GGTGACCTTCACGCTGACATTTCACTTCTGCACGCTTTGATAGGGAAATTTGCATTTGTCTGGCTGCAAACCCCCCAGGAAGGGGGGCAGAGCATCCTCTGCTGCTAGTGGCTGAGCTCCCTGTTTGTGCCCCGCAGGTCTGCGCTGGGACGCAAAGCTGCCTTCTCCACACTCTCCATCCTGGTGGCCCTGCTGATTGCTGGCCAGGCTGTCACCATCTACTTCGTGTACCAGCAGAGTGGGCAGATCAGCAAGCTGACCAAGACCTCGCAGACCCTGCAGCTGGAGGCTCTGCAGCGCAAGCTGCCTGCCAGTCAGTAGCCCCCATGGGCACCAGTGTGGTGGGAGGGTGGGCAGGGAGGGGGGACAGGTTGGTGCCCCTCACACTGCTCCTTTCTTGGCAGGTGCCAAGCCAGTGAAGAAGAACATGGCCATGGTGCACACCCCCCTGGCCATAAGGGTCATGCCTGCTGCCCCTCTTGCAGACCTTCCGGTAAGAGTGGTCCACCACTGCTTGGCACTGTCTGCTGCCCTCAGGACTTGCTGCCATGCTCACACTGTCCCTTTGCCCTTTCTTTCAAGGCCTTGACCAAGCCTGCTAGCAACAAAACTGAGGATCAAGTGAAGCACCTGCTGCTGGTAAGGTCCCCTGCTCCCCCAACTACCCTGCAGCTGCTCCTGCACTGGTCTGGGGTCCCTTGGGGTGCTCAGAGCTTGTGGAAGCTCCTGACCTCCTGCAGCATCTGTCTGGCTGACATCAGCAAAGCTCCCACCCCCACTCTTCTTTGCCCTATCTCACCATGGTGGTTGCTCTGCAGCAAGCAGACCCTGGAAAGATGTTCCCAGAGCTGAAGGAAAACCTGATGGACAACCTGAAGAGGCTGAAGAATACCATGAGTCATGCAGACTGGAAGGTCAGTGCTTGTTGCCATCTTACTATCCCTGTCTAGAAGTACCCTGTTTTGGGGAGAGCCTGGAATGTCCCCACCTGGAAAAACACAGTCCTGCTTGAGCCAGGCTTGGGCTGCTCCCACCCCAGGGAAGTGGATGGTGCTCACCACCTTTCTTGACCAAGCTAGAGCATATGGCATGGCTCTCCTGGGGTGCAGCCCCCCATGCCCATTAATGTGCTGGTTCCCCTCATTGCAGTCCTTTGAGTCCTGGATGCACAAGTGGCTGCTGTTTGAGATGGCTAAGAACCCCAAGTCGGAGGAGCGCAAGGCAATCCCAGCGGAGAAAGGTATCAGGGATGGGACTGCTGACCTGGGAAGGGTCAGGGCTGGCCCCTGGGAGGTGTTGGCATGGGGCATCTCAAAGGAGCCCTCCTTCTGGTCATGGACCTATTTGTTCCAAGGGGAGCCTCTGCTTAGTGGCCTTTGGGACATCACAGAGCATGTCTGCCCACAGTCTGCATGGCATTTGGGATGAGCTGAACAGCTGGAGCACCACCCCAAATCCTCCATCCCTGGCTAGCCCAAGAGCTTCAGAAAGGTCATTGGGCTGGGGTTTGTTCACCTTTAAGTTTAGTGTAACTGGATATAATCTCCTGCTGAGGCTGCCAAAGGGTCTGGGGGCTGATGGAGTCTCTGCTTTATTTCTATTGCCCTAGTGCTAACTAAGTGCCAGGCTGAGGCCAGTTTTGGGGGTGTTCCGGGCCAGTTCCGCCCACAGTGCGATGAGAATGGTGACTACCTGCCCAAGCAGTGTCATTTCTCCACTGGCTTCTGCTGGTGCTGCTACAAAAACGGCACCAAGATCGAGGGCACTGCTACTCGGAAAAAGCTGGACTGCCCTGGTAGGTCACCAGGGAGGGGAAGGAGAGGAAATGAGCAGTGTGCATGGACTGCTTGTGATTAGGGAGGAGAGCTAGGAGAGGAGGGGGTCCAGATTGTAGGCAGCACCCTCAGCTCTTTAGTGCCAGCATGTTACAGCTGGAGGGGACCCTAAAAACCACAGCCCTCCCTAGGTAGCTGCAGCTGGAGCTGAGGTGTGCAGTCAGGGATTTTCATGAGCCCTCCTTGCCCCCAGTGCACAGCTCAGTGGTGGGTGCAGACTCTCCCCTGCTGCCCTCGGAGGGGTGGGGGTGATGGAGCAGCCCCAGTGTCCAGCACTCACACCCATCTTTCCCTCTCTGCAGGCACTCC